GAAAATTAAAACTTCCCGCAAATGACGAGAATTTGGCTCGTAAACTGACATTTTCAATCGAGAATAATTTTATGATGCAGACACAAATCGACTAATGTTTCTATAGAGTTATGTTGACAGATGCCCAAGTTTATTGTATGACGTCTATGATCTATTTATTTCGACCACCACTTACCGCTAAAGCCATCTATAAGAAAACGGCGGAAGCAAAGTTGTACACCTAATAGATAGCAACTGTCGGAGCAATCAATTGTCTGTCAGTTTTATCGTAATTTATACGTAAGGGTCTCCCAGACCCCAGTGTGTATTTCGTGCAACTTTTTTTGCAAGTATATTTTGTAATTAATTTTATTCAAGTTCATAATGTAAATATATATTCTAAAAAATGTTATATTAAATAAATAATGTAAAAAAAGGACTAATTTTTATTGGAAGACAGAAATACACGGACTAAACAATGAAAATGATACTGCCTTGTTGAGTGAATGTTATTTGCTTTTAAATTATTGACGTTTTCCTTTTTCTGTTCCTGTTTTTATTACATGCATTACAAGTTATTGAGTTTGTAATTTTTAACAAAAATCCTAATTCTTATATTTGTCTGCAAAACCGCCAGAAAATAGAAATATAAAAAATCGTCAATTATGGAACCTTGTAATTTTCATAATAATATTTCAATATTTAAGCGACGATTTTTTTCTTTGTACCTTGAAATATGTCCTTTCAAAATCTGAAAACTTTTTTCAATTATCTCTATTACCAAAAGAGATGCATTTTTTAAGCTATTACGGTAAAATGATATTTCCTTTGCATTTATGAGTATTTCTAATGTTATTGTATTTCAACGCGTATGTTAATGTATTCATTGTATGTTAATGTATTTCAACGCGTCTTTATTATGTGATATTTATTGTGATTTAATCCTAATTTTTAATAGATATATGTGTTTATCAGTCTATTAACAATCGAGGAAAAAAAGTCAAAATACGGTGATTTTTACCGGAGTTATAATAAAAAAATGAACTGGGGTCCTTCGGATCCCAGTGTAGCATCTACGTATGCGAAAAATAAGTGTGTATACCTAGGGTTAAAGCAAAAGAGGAATGCATGGAATATTTCCCAGATTTATTTAATCGATTGTAAGTGTCGCTTTATAGATATATCTTTTTATTTCAACGTATGTCGTAAAAATGTTTAGTATGCATTTTCTCGCTTCTGACATCATTAATACTAGGTATACACACATATTGTCAGACTGCGCGCAGATTGCTTACTGGATAGTTGCATACACAAATGTCTATACTAAACTTGATTGCTAACAGACTACCCAGTAAGCAATCTGCGCGCAGACTGATGTCAGACTGTCGACAGGATCTGTCGAATCCGAGCAGGATCTGTCGACAGATCTATAGACATCTGCGTCTCCAATCTGCCGCCAGACTGTTGACAGGGTCTGCGAACAGACTCTGACGACAGACTGGCGGCAGATTGCGCGCGGAGCCTGTCGACAGACTATGATGGCAGATTGGCTTCAGATTGCGCGTAGATCCTGTCGTTTCGTAGGTTCTTCAATTAAATTTTCTCATAATTTTTCATAATTACTCATAGAATAAGCGGTTTCTCATAAATACTCATAAAATACTATGACAAAAAAAACTTTTCTACATTATTTTTTCATAATTTTTAATATTTTCTCTAGTGAGATTCGAACTTGAACTGAAGACATCTTTTGGATAATCGTCCGTCGCCTTAGACACTACGCCAATTCCTCACTTGATAAAAGGCGCTTTGTATTGTCCATTTAAAGTTTAAGGAAGAAAAATATTATAGTTTATTCGCCTTTTAAGCCGCAAAATATAGACGAAACCGTTTAGCGTATAAATAATAAGTAAGAGAGACTGGTACGATAATTCGAAATTAATTTTCTACCAAGGAATGTATAGAAAATTACTACAATAAAACAGCAGATAATGATATTTTTCTATCATGTTGATAAAATATTGTACTTTTACATGTGCGAATTAATTTGGTCGATCGTCCCGTTCAGATTGTATTAAGTTTTATCAAAATCGAAGCATGATATATTTTTAAATAAACCATCAAAAAAATTCTGTAAAAGTTATTTACATAGCGAGACTAATATTTTATTCGGTGCTGCTGCCTTCAATACTTATTGTATGACGGTTAAATCGGATTTAATGACATAACAACATTTAAAAAAATAATAAGATGAGAAATTGTATGAAAAATTATGAGAACAATTTTTACCAGGAATGACATGTGTA